AATCAAGAAATCAGTAATCATGTTTAATATAGGCACACGATGTGTAATAAGCAAGTATCCATCTCTTCAGGATTTTATCATTTCTGTGTTAGGAACATTTCAATTCCATTTTTTTTAATTAAAGTATATCATAACTTATTGTTGACTATAGTCACTTTGTTTTACTATCAAATATCATTCATTCTGTCTAACTATATTTTCACTCTCTTTAACTGTCACCACTATATCAAACCCCCTCACACACACACCCCAAGCCTTCCTGGGCTCTGGAAGCATCATGGGAATTCTCATCTCTATGAGGTTAGTTATTTTAATATTTAGGTCTCATATATCCATCAGAACATACAAGATTTATCTTTCTGTGCTTGGCTTATTTCACTTAACATAACATTCTCCAGAAGTTTATCCATGTTGTTGCAAATGTCAGGATTTAATTATTTTTTTGGTGGCCAAATAATATCCCACTGTGTATATGGATCACATTTTCTTTATCCACTCATCCACTGAGAGACACTTCAGTTGATCCCTAATCTTGGTTAGTATGAATTGTACTAAAACAAATATGGGAGTGCAGATACTTTTTTCTATTTGCTCTATACAGATGGTTTTGGAGCTATACCTAGCGGTGAAATATCTGAGTCATACAATAGTTCTGTTTTTAGTTTTTTGAGGAACTGCCATAATGTTGTCCATAGTGGTTGAACTATTTTATTTTTTCACCAAGAGTGCAGGAAGGTAATATGATCTCTCTTTCTCTCTCTGTGTGTTTTGTTTTCTTTTGTTTTTTGGGGGAGAACAAAGTCTTCACTCTGTTGCCCTGTCTAGAGTGCAGTGGCATCACTATAGCTCACAGCAACCTCAGACTCGGGTTTAAGTGATCCTCTTGCCTCAGCCTCTGGAGTAGCTGTGATAACAAATATGCCAAGATGCTAGGCGAATATTTTCTATTTTTTTAGCAGAGAAAGGGTCCTGATCTTGCTCAAGGTGCTCTTGAACTCACTGAAACTCTCTGAAACCCCTGATCTCATTTTTACTCTAAACAAATTTGTTGGACTATGAATAAAGAATAGGAAATAAGGAGAGTGTTTTCTGTCTTAATATGAGAAAAATTTTACTATATAAAATTCTTTAAAAGAAAATCGGTCTCTCCTCAAATAAATTTTTTTTTCTATTTTTTTCATTGAGAGAGAGTCTCACTATATCATCTTTGGTAGAGTGCTATGGCATCACAGCTCACAGCAACCTCAATTCTTGGACTTAAGCAATTCTCTTGCCTCAGCCTCCTGAGCAGCTGGGTCTACAGGCGCCCACCACAACACGTGGATATTTTTGACTGGAGTTGTCATTGTTGTTTAGCAGGCCAGGGCTGAGCTCGAACCCTCCAGCCTCCGTGTATGTGGCTGGCACCCTACTCACTGAGCTACAGGCGCCAAGCCTCAAATAAAAAATTATTAAACAATAATCATTGAAGCTTACCTAAGTAGAGCATTCATTGCCAGCTGCTTAACTTACTTATTCTTTATCTTAATTTCTATGTCAATGAAATAAATTAGCTACTATGATTCTTTCAAATCTCACAGACATTTCAGAATTCATGAGAAATTCTAAGTAAGTCATTTTAAATCACTCTTACCCATCTGCATTAAACACAGTGATTCTATAGCTAAAAGTTAACTTTCAAGTCTTGACATAACTTGATCCTTCTTAGTTTCTCCAAAGCCTCTCAAACATTATTTTTTTTTTTCAAATGGCTTCCCTTTTACAAATATTCCTGCTAATTCATTTTTTTCTCTCTTCTGGCATGCATTTATTTTTATCTTTCTTTAAAGAAAAGTCTTAGAGATCAGTTAGCTGCCTCTCTAGACAAACATATAGAAGGATAACTCTTATTCTTCCCCGCCTGTACAATTGCTCACTTGATCTCTCCTATTGTTACAATTTGCTACATTTTATATACCAAAACAAAGAAATATGTTGTTTTATGACATACCTATAACTCTTCCAATAGCACTACACAAGATATTTGCTTGTCTAACACATTTCTATTAACTCATAATTGAAAATTTATTAACCACCCAGGGAAATACCTGTGTTGGAGCAAAGGCCAAAGTGGCCATTGCAGCAGAGAGGAGTTTTGTCTCCAGTCTGCCCTCTACAAAGCAGAGCCAAATCTGGGTCTTTGTATCAGCAGGGAGTTTTGAAACACCTTCCAACTTGGTGCAGCTGGATGCTGAGTGTCTTTTGACCTAGTTTTGCACAAAGGAAATGTAAGGTTGCCAGACCACGGAGACTGGAAGTGTTAGATCTATGTCCTTTTGTTGCCAGAAGAATCCCTAAAACGTTAGCTTCAGGAGTTGTCACATTCCTGGAACATTAATGTGACTATGTTTGCTACCTGTTGGCTCTTAGGCAGACAGTCCTTTATATCACTGTGTCAACTTGTATGTAGGTGGAAGTGGACCAGATTGGCCTTAATATTCCCTCCAATTTGACTAAGTCTTACAAAGCCTTCTTCCTGACTCCAGGCTGACCTTTCTTTCCTGGAGCATGCATCACTTTAGAAATCATGGAATTGTAAGTTTTTTCTCTATCCCTTTGAGATATGTCTTTTTTTAAAAACCTCTTGCCAGTTATATAACCCCGTAATGTTTTTCTCAAAGACTTGAGAGCCTTATCTTTGAAATATGAACATCAAGGGAGACAGCTCCTCTATCTCTCTCTGTCTGTGGGGTAGCCGAAGCCTCATTTTGGTGGTCACATTGCTTAAAGTTGCAAAACTACCCTTGCTTTTCCATTAATAAAACCAACTAGCAGACACAGATTGCCTGCATTTCCCTTTTCACTCCAGTATTTATTTATTTGTATTTTTTAATAGAAATTCTACATTTCATTTTATTTTACTTTTTAGTGTTGGGGAATCATTGAGGGTACAATGAGCCAGGTTATACTGCTTGCATTTGCTGGGTGAAGTTCCTCTATTAATAGTGTTCCACCCCCAAGAGGTATGTCACACACCGTGGCCCCATACCTCCCTCCCACCTTCCCTATCTTCCCTTCCCCATCCCTTCCCCCCACCCCCATGTACTAGCATCCATGTTTCAGCAGAGTTAATTTCAGACTGAGTTTTGGTTTTTCTCCCCTATTGAAATATAGCCTTGAATATAGTCTTGCTTACATGTTTAACTTTGCCCAGGGCATTTTTTACTTTATCAAAATATTAATAAAAATGGTTGAAACCAGAAAAATGTCTATGTTCCAATACATTGATGTTTTGAAATTCAGAACGCAGAGGGTGTGTGCTTTTCTTTTCCAAGAAGTTTCATATACTAAATGTTACGTTAATGTGGGGCACACCTTGCCATGACAGCGAAATCCTTAAAGAGGACAGATTCCCAAAAGTCCCTAAGCCTTTTGGTTGATCCTCACAGTAGTCCAATGGCTGATCTTCACAATGCCATCTCTTGTTCCCTGTTTAAAAGAAATACTGCATAAATATTTCTTAACTAGGATCCTGCTGCTTTGAGAATCATGGCCTACCCTGCCTTTCTCTCCACAACTCCCATTGGGATTAAGAACTCAGGGAAAGTGAACTACATGCCGTTTCTAAAAAATATTACATCAAACCAACCATCAGTCCATTCTATTTGTCTTCACTCCTCCCTCAAGATTTTATTATCTCCTTTTCTCCTGTTACTATTCTTTAATAGTTACTTAGAAGTTATAAATGAATGTAAACCCTGATAAGGCTGTTTTAACATTTGGCATTATATGTGTATAATAGTTATTCCCTCATCTAACTCATCACTGGATGTGTGAGCTTATGGAGGGCAAATAAATGACTTATTTATTAATTTACTCTCTAGGTATCTGGCACCTGTACATGGAGAATTTTCAACAAATGTTTGCTAAAAGGCAAACAATATTATTTGTATGTATTAAATATAACAAGGTGTAAAAAACAATAAAAATGTCAAACCATTTGATTTTAAAAAGCTTCAAAGATATTATTTTCACAACTCTAAATACTTTTGTTGTTTCAACTAAATTTATGAAGTCCACATTAAATATTTTTAAGAATTTTTAACATTAAAACAACATATCACAGGGAAAAGAAGTTATCTGAACATATCATTTCCAAAAGGAAAGATAATTAGGATCTCTTTTCGATACAAGTATGGACATAATTCATATATTTTCTCCAAAATTTTTCCATTAACTATGTATTTATTTAAATAAATAATTCAAAAAACAATAAAAAGTCAACCCATTTGATTTAAAAAAGCTTCCAAGATATCATTTTCACAACTCCAAATATTTTTGTTGTTTCAACTAAATTTATGAAGTCCACATTAAATATTTTTAAGAATTTTTAACATTAAAACAACACATCACAGGGAAAAGAAGTTATTAGAACATATCTTTCCAAAAGGAAAGATAATTAGGATCTCTTTTCAATACAAGTATGGACATAATTCAAATACCTCTCCAAAAATTTTACATTAACTATTCATTTATTTGTATAGGTCTATTTAAATCTCCTGTAGAAGAAAGTGGTGAATATGTATGCACGCATACATCTGTGATTTTAGTGACAAATGTATTCTTTCTTTTTGAGTCAGAGTCTCACTTTGTCACCATTGGTAGAGTGCCATGGCATCATAGCTCACGGTAACTACAAACTTTTGGTCTCAAGTGATCCTCTTGCCTTAGCCTCCCAAGTAGCTGGGACTATAGGTATCTACCACAACACCTGGCTATTTCTAGAGATGGGGTCTCCCTCTTTCTAGCTCAGGCTGCTCTTGCATTCCTGAGCTCAAACAATCCACCTGCCTCAGTCTTCCAGAGTGCTGGGATTATATGCATGAGCCACTGCACCTGGCCTTAAATAGTCATTAATTGAAAAAAATTATAAAATATAAGATTTTAAGCTTTATCCTTTACTCAAAGGAAATGAACTACAATTCACAAGACCTAAATGGTATGACTTTTTTTTACAGTACCTGTATATGCAAACTGGACAAGGTCCCAGAGGGCGTTGGGGTCAATGCCTTCCATCTTGATCTCATCTTGTTTGGCTTCACAAACATCACTTGTAAACATGGCAGCAAAATAGTCAGAGACTGAACTCAGAACGAGCCTGAAAGAGTCACAGCATCTAATTTAAGCCACAAATATTAAACATAAAAACATTAAATGTCAATAAGAATGCAAAGCAGAACAAAAAAAATCAATGCTTTATTTCTTTATTGCCTTATGTATTATACTTTAGGAAACTGATCCAGGATATCCTGGTCTACCCATTGGTCACAAAGCATTCTCCTGTGTTTTCTTCTATCATTTTAAAGATTTTTTTTTCTTTCATTTTTAGGACTTTAATCCCTTTGAAGAAGAATCAAATTTTATTCTCTCCGTATATTATCTAACTCACTACTAGCAATGCTGATTACCCCACTGAATTATGGTCCTAAGCCCATCATTAATTTTAGTCCTGAATATATGTTGATGCATCTGATATTTTTATTATATTTTTGTTATTTATCTGTTCTTGTGCTAATAAAAATAATCTTTTTAATACTATGATTCTAAATAGGTCCTTATAACCAATAAGGCAAATTATTTCCTTTTCATTTAATTATTATTACAATGTTATTCTTTAAGAAGTTTTAAACTTTCAAGTTTCAGGTAATTTTGTTATGTTTTTTTTTTTAAATAATTCATACGTAATCCTGATCAAAAGTATGCTGACTTTTGTTTTTTTCGGAAGAGCTGAAATATCTATCATGTAAAGTTATCTGATCCAAAAGTATAAAATATCTATCCGTGTATTCAGGATTGCTGTGTCCTCTCTTTTTGAACTTTAAAGTTTTCCCTAAAATTGCTTTATTTATTCTTGGTTGATTCCTATATGGTTTACCTTTGTTGGCATTAGGTCTACTGCCTTTGTTGTATTTTTCCATTAGAGTTTATTAATTAAAAGTTTCATAGGCCCATTGTTTGTCTGGCACATTTGGTGAATTATTTTACTAGTTCTATTGATTCTCCTACTTTTTCTTTCCTTTAGGAGGATGACTATCTCATCTGACATTAATGCTATTTTGACCTATTTCTCTTCATTCTCCACAACTCATTTCCTTTCCCTTTTCTTACAATGTCCTTTACAACCTCCAGTGCTGTGCTAAGCAGTAGCTACGTCACAGAAGCAAAGTTTGAGTTTTTCTCCATATTAAAAGGAATGCAACTGAAATTTCTCCCTTCAGTATAATATTTCCTGAATGTATTCAGTATATAAGCTTTGCTAAATCAGGAAGACTCCTTTAATTTTCAGCTTTTCAAAAACCTTTTATAATATATGGGTATGAAAATTCATAATTTTGTAAATAAATTTTTCTCAGAAGCAAAGTTGTTTTTAGGATTTTTTTCGCGGATAATCATAAAAGAAATA